CTCCCTAGTCTTTCTGAGGCATTCTCTCACCTTCCAGTGCAGTACCAGACAATGCTCTGCTGTCATTCTTAGGGTTTTCATTTTTTCAGAAGTGGGGCCATTTTTTCAGAAGTGGGTGGTCAGGTCCTTCTTCCTAGTCTGTCTTAGTCTGGAAGCCCCACTGAAATCTGTCCACCATGGGTGATTCTGCTGGTATTTGAAATACCAGTGGCATAGCTTTCAGCAACACACAGCCGCCACAGTATGACAGTCGACAGACAGGTGGTGTGGTTCCCTGACCGGGAAACAAACCCGGGCTGCAGCGGTGAGAGCACCGAATCTTAATCCCTAGCCTGCCAGAGGTTTCCCTGAGGGAGAAATAGTTCCTGGGGACTGCCTTGTTGCCCCTGCCCAAGGGTTTCCAGCCTGCGAGTCTACCATATGGATTTCAGACTTGCCCAGCCAGACCCCACAATCACTAAGCCAGTTCCTTGCAATAATCTCTCTCAATTGATTGATAGATGAAAGAGATCAGTCAATCGATCAGTCGATCATCCTGCTGGTTCTGTTTCTCCAGTAGAACCCTGACGGATACAAGCAGTCATGTCCTGGGTGTCTGTTGGGTACTGTTTAATCTCTAGCCCCAAGAAATGGGGAAAGCCTCCTGAACTCTCCCCTGGGAGTCAGGCCACTATATGCACACCTTCCTTTTCCTCCTTCCCTCCCTCCATCCCCCCTTATCTTCCTTCCAGAGGGTTTGTGCCTGAAAAACATGAGGGCCTCTGTCTGCTGAGAGCACCGTTTCCCCTGATCTGCCTAGCTCCTCACGCATCTGCTGTATGTTAACAGCCGTGATGAAGCCTGGCTTCTCCAATCATAGCTCTATTGCCAGCCTTACTCTTCATCTTTGTCCAATCCCACGAGTTTACCGTATTCCCTCCCTCTCTCCTTCTCAAGACCCCATTTGTCTTCACCACCGGTTAGACTGATAGCTGTCTCCCAGCATCCATTCCCCCTTCCTCATGGTAATTCCGATATTTAGCCAGCACGTAACTTTCCAGCATAAAGACTGTATTTCTCAGCCTCTTTTTCAGGTAAGTGCGCTCATATGACTAGGTGATAGCCAATGGGACATGAGCAGAAGTACTATGTTCAACTCCCAGGCTCTGCACCAGAAGGAAGGGCATGCCAAAATTAAGCATGGCGATGCTGACACTGGATTTTGTGGGCAACAGCACCACCCTAAAGGGAGCTGAGCAATAAGATGCACAGAGCTCCAGTCCTCTCCTGCCACCTGGACTTCCATCTGGTTTATGGTACCATTGTTTAGAATCTCTGCAGCAACAGCCAAAATTAGATCCTAACCAATACACCACCAAACTTGCCAAAAGAATAACCCCCTCACTCAACCTTTCTACTTCGTGGACCACTGACAGTCCTGTTCCCTGACTGCTCCGCCTCCTCCCCACCCTCAAATACGGGTGACTCTGACTCCCAAGGTCTTTCCTTAAATGTAGGTTCTCTACACTTTCTCCCTTGGCAATCTCATCCATTCTCACAGAAGACTTCGAACTCTCCTAAGGCTAACTCATCTCTAAGCACCTGATCTTCTCATCGGACTTCTCCTCGATGAGCTGCTAGCACATCAAATTCCGTATCTTTAAAACCAAACTCATGATTCTCTCTCTCTCACACACACACACTCACCGTGGGGTGAGGGGAGACAACCGGCTCTCTTCTTGATTTCCTTGTTTTGTAAATGGAGTAAATGACACCATCATCCTGCCAGGAGGCCAAGTTTAAGACTCTAAAGCAGGGGCCACACTTTCAAATGCTCACAGAGACCAGACAAGGGACAAAAGAAATGTGGAAACTGTGGGGAGTTGGAGAGTTCGTGACCAATCTAAAAAGAGCAACCAGTACTTGGCTGATTTCTGACAGGTAGGAAGGTAGGCCCAGTGTTGTGAGATCTTTTGATTTTTCAAAGAAGTAAAAAATTTGGATTTTATGTACTCTCTCGAGATTTTTTTTTTTTTTTAAGATTTTATTTTTTCCTTTTTCTCCCCAAAGCCCCCCGGTACATAGTTGTGTATTCTTCGTTGTGGGTTCCTCTAGTTGTGGCATGTGGGACGCTGCCTCAGCGTGGTCTGACGAGCAGTGCCATGTCCGCGCCCAGGATTCGAACCGACGAAACACTGGGCCGCCTGCAGCGGAGCGCGCGAACTTAACCACTCGGCCACGGGGCCAGCCCCTCTCTCGAGATTTTTTTTTTTTAAAGATTTTATTTTTCCTTCTTTTTCCCCAAAGCCCCCCAGTACACAGTTGTATATTTTTAGTTGTGGGTCCTTCTAGTTGTGGCATATGGGACACCGCCTCAGCATGGCTTGAGAACAGTGCTATGTCCGCGCCCAGGATTCGAACCGGTGAAACCCCGGGCCACAAAAGCAGAGCTTGCAAACTTAACCACTGGGCCACCGGGCCAGCCCCCTCTCTAGACTTTTTAAACAACAAAAAGCTATCTTCTGCAGAGATGATATTCAAAATACTGAACTCATAATATTTATAGATCAATATGTAAATCAAAAACTTTAAAACATGTCTCATGCTATTTTCTAAATAAACTATATATATAATTAAATGACTTGTTAAATAATATAACTTGTAGCAAAAATAATTCATCAGATCATTCTAGTAAGTGTAAATCATTTGCTGATATTTGGAAATTATTCATCTTTTGATGCAGCTGTCACTGAATTTTGTCCCTCTGAGTCATGATTTGACACGGGAAACAATATCAAATTCTTCCAACAACTTCCCTATTAAATTGATAATCAGGTGAATTTTTTTATTTTATTGAGGTCATAACAGTTTATAACATTGTGAAATTTCAGTTGTACATTATTTACCAGTCACCATATAAATGTGCCCCTTCACCCCTTATGCTCAACCCCCAAGGTAAATTTTTAAGTAGAGAATTTTTCTTTTCTTTTTTTTTTGAGGAAGATTAGCCCTGAGCTAACTACCGCCAGTCCTCCTCTTTTTTGCTGAGGAAGCCTGGCCCTGTGCTAACATCCGTGCCCATCTTCCTCTACTTTATACGTGGGACCCCTACCACAGCACGGCGTGCCAAGCGGTGCCATGTCCGCACCGAGGATTCGAACCGGCGAACGCCGGGCTGCCAAGAAGCAGAACATGCAAACTTAACCGCTGTGCCACCAGGCCGACCCCTAGAGAGTTTTTCTTAATATCAATCACATTGTTTAGTGTCGACTCCTCGGCTTCTGATGAACTAATAGCAATTACATTTAAACAGAGAATAGTTTGAGGGTTTTATACATTCAATATTTCTATTATTGATTGAGTCACAAAAATCACTTATTGAAATACCTTTTAACCAGTTCACTTATTTTACTACTTTTTGTTCCCCCTTAATCCATGGAGCTCCACAAACCAGTTGGCCAAATTTCAGGACTCAATAAACTGAAACAATTGAAAAGTTCATTACATTTTTCACTTTTGTCACCAAATACCTTTTCATATTATCTACTAAGACAATCCAATAGCTTTTCTCTTATAACCACAGGCCCTCTAGGATCAGTTCAAACTGACCCCATCCTATCAACAGAAGGTTTTTTCTGGGGCAAGCCAAAAATTTGCAACTCACACAGCCAGAGCATGGGCAGAGAAGAAAGTCTTCACCTGAAATAACACCTGGAACCAAAGACTCTCCACCCACAGAACCAAAGGACTGGGCCGTGACTGGAACTCCAAAGTCAGACTCTCATCAGAAGCAAGGGGTCACTGTCTAGGAAGATGTGCTGTTAAAGCCGCTTCCACACCTTACGGCAAGTGCTTAAAGCCCTCCAGTCAAAACCTGGCCATCAACGCTTCCGCGTACCAGCCTGTGCCCCTAACCTCTTATATTTTGCCCCAAACCCTGGATCAGGGAGGCCGATTTGAGAGCTTTGCCTCCTTTCTCCTTGCTGGTCAACCCCACAAGAGCCTTTTCTTTTCTCAAAAGCTGATGCGAGGGCCAGTCCCATAGCCGAGCAGTTAAGTTCGCGCGCTCTGCTTCTGCGGCCCAGGGTCTCACTGGTTCAGATCCCGGGCGCCGACCTAGCACTGCTCATCAGGCCACACTGAGGCGGCATCCCACATGCCACAACCAGAAGGACTTACAACTAGAATCTACAACTATGTACTGGGGGACTTGGGGGAGAAGGAAAAATTTTAAAAAGCTGTGCCATAATTGGCTTTAATGCCCATCGGGCACAGAACGCCATTTGTGCGCTAATATAGATACTGCATTTTGTTTTAAACGGTATACCTTTTTTCCCACATCAATAATATCTACCACTTCTGTTTCAAAGTTTCCTTTGTTTGTTTATGTTATGGACTGAATGTTTGCATCTCTGCAAATTCTAGTTAACCCCTGACTCTCCTCCCGAGTGATTACAAGGTGGGGCTTTGGGAGGCAAGTAGGATTCGATGAGGTCATAAGGGTGGAGGTCATAAAGGACGAGTGCCCTCTAAGAGTCACAAGAGAGCTTCCTTCCTCTGCTCTGCTCTCCACTATGTGAGGATACCACAGAAGTCGGCAGTCTGCAATCCAGAAAAGGGTTCTCACCAGAACCCACCAAGCTGGCACTCTGATCTCAGACTTCCAGCCTCCAGAACTGTGAGGAATAAAGTTCTGTTGCTATGAGTCACCCAGCCTGTGGTACTCTGTTACAGCAACCTGAGTCGACTACGACAGCTTACATACGTTCAATCATTTTATAGTCCATTGAGATAATGTCAGCTCTAACAATTAAAACATTTTTCTCGTACACCTGAAATTATACAATGTTATAAACCATTATGATCTCAGTAAAATTACTGGGAAACAAACATTTTTCTCATAAAGCTAAAATAAATATTGACATTTCCATTAAAATATTAAGGCCCAAACTCTTAAAAACCTATTTTTCAAATGGCTAACCACTCCATATCAGTTCTACTACAGTGAACACAGAGCTTACTGATTTCCAAACTGCCGTCCACTGAGCTTCGATCTTCATTACTTAACTTGCAGTTCTGTTATTTGCTGTGACAGAAAAATAGCTTGTTGAAAGAAAACAATACGAGAATTACCTGACTTTGGCTTCATATTGCTTTATCTAAAATTAATTTGATAACGTACTGCTAAATTAAAACATCCAGATTTTTCCTAAACTTTTGGCTGAAATTTCAGACTCTCTCTTGCATTACAATGGCACTTTTTGTACGAAACCCAGTGACTTTTTTTTAATTGTTGTAAAATATTCCAATGACTTTTTTTTTTTTTTTTTTTGCCATGGAAGACTTGCCCTGAGCTAACATCTGTTGCCCACCTTCCTCTTTTTGTATGTGAGCCACCACCACAGCATGGCCACTGACAAGTAGTGTAGGTCCACGCCCAGGAACCGAACCTGGGCCACCAAAGCAGAGCACGCCAAATTTAACCACTAGGCTACCAGGGCTGGCCATCCAATAACATTTTAATGGAAAGATTTTTCAATGAAATACAATTTTTCTTGCCCATCAAGTTCAATATGTTGTATTAAATGTGGTTCCCAGTGCCATAAGATCAACAAAAACCATTATCTTCAAAATCTTGAAATTTGTATTTTAAGCAATTAAAACATTTATGTTATGTTTCAGCTTCTCTGATGATGATTTAAAATGAACTACATTGACTCATGTTTTCCAAAACGTTTTCTCATTTAGGTCCATCCACGTTTCGTAGTAAGTGGGTCCATAGTACCCATGTCCCTATCCATACTATTCTTTTAGAAGTTCTATTATTTTCATGGAAATGCTCAGTTATATTTTATTATACAGTGCTAAAAATTCTGACAGCACCTTCTAAATCTTTTTGATTGCTTTATCCTCACTCTGATAACATTTTGGAGAGTTTTAAGTATGAAATCGATTATGTCTTAAATTTCTTCCTCATTGATGATCACAAATTTTCTTCACTTGAACCACAAGTTTTAACAGCATTCTGATACAGGTTTAACAGCATCCTCATAAAACATACACGTTTAGCAACTTGATCTTTTAACTGGTAACTTTTGAGCACTATTAACATCCAACATTTCTCTCAGTAGCAATAAGCCAAATTACTGATTGAAAAAATCGTTACTTTCCATTCCAGAACTTCAGGTTTTTGCAATAAAATTTATTTAATACAAATTTTATTTTGTGCAGATTCTTGCAGAGGAGCAAAACAAGTTCCAGGTTGGGATGCGCTCTTAACACTCCTTTGTTCTTCTGCAGATTAACAAGATTCATGTTTATTATATTTAAAAGTATTAAAAACTTACCCAGATTTTGCTGTCTCTTTATTCTAGGTATTTGTTAATATTTTATAATAAAATGCATAAATATAAAAACACTGCACACCTGCTACTTTTTGAAATTACAATGAGTTAACAATAAAATTAAAGTATTTTAAGCTAGTGATACTCCTAAAGAAGTTACTGTTTTGTTAACACATGCAACTTAGCCACAGTCCCTTCAGTAACACAGGCCGTACTGTGTCATGCATGTTTCTCAGATGTCGCTACAATCGGGGGCTGTTTTTCAATGATACTAACATCCTAAAACTATCAGTGCAAACCGCTAAGTTTATATTAAAATGTGGATTATTACCTAACTGTAACACATGGCAATTACTATGATACCATTACCATTTCCCAGGAAGTATTTCACTATTTTAACCATCAGTATGGCGCGGCGTGCATACCGGCTAATATCAGCTCTGGCCTGTCGGCTGGATTGGTCCAGAGACCGCCAGTTTGAGCTTCGGGCCAAAACTCCAGAAGATTGGGTCCTGGATCTGAAGACGGGGCTGCGTCTGGAACGCATCTCTAGAAGAGCAGTCTTACTTTTTCGTGTGAGGCACAGAAATCAAGTGACGTCACACCTGGGCAGCTTCACTAATTGAAGCCGCCTGCCTGCCCCCCACCCCTCATAGTGACTTTAATTTCCCACCCTTAGATTACATTTTCAAAAAATGACGTCCTCTTTTACCAAATTTCCTGAGGCGAGGGTTTAAAAATCCAGGCTCCCTACTAGAAACGAGAGGCAAGGGAAACATAAACAGCAATCCCTAAACCAACATCGCAAAAAAGCATCTCGGCACACCTGCACCTCCCGCTCCCCGGTCCACGCCGCCTCCCCCGGCCGCCGGCAGCAGCGCCCCCACCGCCCCCACCGCCCGCAGCGCCGAGTCTCCTCCGATCACTTATCACCCGCACCCCGCGATCACACGCGCCCGGAAGACAAACTCCTCCCTCCCCGCCGGCATCCCTGCATCCGCCCATGGGTCCACGAACTCCGAATCTCTTGGTTCGCCTTCACAGAGCCTGTGCTCCGGCCCAACAGGACTTCCTTCCCCGGAGATGGAGGGCATGCACACCGCCAGGCCTTGCTCACAACGGGCTACCCGGCCTGGGGCACCCTCCTGCCTCACTTCTGCTCGCCGGCACCCGGCAAGGCCTGGCACAAAAGCAAGGCCTCAGAAGGCCTTCCGGGATTCCCTCGCGGGCCGGACCATTTCCTGCGCGGCCCCAGCTCCTCTCTGACCGTCGGCCTCTCCAAGAACTCCTCCCGTTCGTTCTCAGACAGCAAGGGCCCGGCAGGAGTCATTTCCGGGGCCCAGCGCAGGGCAGGCTTCGGGGCTTGCCCAATGACTCAACAAACGAGGGCGCTCCGTCGGGCCAGCAGCCGCACCTACTGGGTGCGGGCACTGTGGTCGGCGCTGGGACAAGGACCCTGCTCAAAGGAGCTTAGTGGCTGTTCACTAGTTCAAAGAGTTACAAGTGCTGTGAAGGGTATGGAAGTCACTGGAACGCTGCCTCGCTCGCAGGGCCGCAGGCGCAGCCAGAGCCTCGCGCTCGCCCCAGTTCCTCCGCCAGCCCGCACCGCCCCGTCTCCCGAAGCGCGACACACCACCGAGCTCGCGCTTCTCGCGCTGCCAAGTCTGCACAGCCGCACACTCTCAGTCCCAGAGTTCCCCGCGCCTCGCCCAGCTGGCTGGGCACCCTCTTCCCGACAGGACCCGGGAGTCCCGCTGCCTGCTGGGAGTTGTGGTCTCGGAGGAGGCGGCGCGGCGGCCGGCCCGCCGCGCGTGGCAGGAAGCGGAAGCGGCCTGCGGCCCGCCCCTGGGCCGGCCCCGCCCCAAACCGCCCGCTCCCGCGGTGCTAGGACTGACGTGTCTTTCGCGGAGGTGCTGTGCGCCGGAGCAGGGTCGGCGGCGGGCAGCGTCGCCTCACTCCCAGCAGAGCGGAGCCGAAGCGAGACCCGGAGCCCAAGCAGCCGCCGCCATGGCGAGTGAGTCCCTCGGGGTAGGCCCGGCGCCGCCGGGACGGGTCACATCCCCCTTCCCTCCCCGGTGCGGGCGGGCGCCCCTCGCCGCCTCGGGGCCCGCGCGCGGCCTGCCGCCTGCCGTCCGCTCCCCCTCGTCCTGGGCGGCGCTCCCAGCCCTAACTCTTCTTTTGTTTCTCCCGTCAAGTCAAATTTCTGGAAGTCATCAAGCCCTTCTGTGTCATCCTGCCGGAAATTCAGAAGCCGGAGAGGAAGGTGAGTCGAGGAGGCTTCGCGGCGCTGGCGCTCGAAGTCTGCGGTCCGACCCGCGCGGCTCCCGCGCCGAGGTGGGCGCTCGCCTCCCCCGAGCGCGCTGGGCTTCGTCGACGGGGCCTGGTGGTGCGCGATTCCCACCCTGGTGGTCGTGCTGTGTTCGGGCGTCTTTCGTCGCTGCTTCCCCGGGAACAAATCCTGCCCTGCCCGAGCGCCCCCCCGGCCGTGAGGGAGGAAGGCCTCCGAGGCTCGGCGAGGGCCTCCATTTGGGTGACCCTCTCCACCTCCGACAGGAGCAGGTCACGGGTCGGGTTTCTTCTAGAAGATGCTCTTTGTATCCAGCTGCTAAAAGGAGCTAAGAACAGTCCCTGGTCTGTACGAATGAGTTTGTCTTCTGTAGGCCGTCACGTTACTGAGAATAAAGATAGTTTGCGGACCTGCCTTTTCCAGCAGGCGCGTTAGACATGGGTAGAAGCCTAGAGCACTGTTGAGTCTTCATCAGGATTTCCGCTGCTCCACGGCTACAGCCAAGATAGCAGTGTTGCCAGCGTGAGTAAAGCTGTTAAGCGATGAGCAAAGTTTCACTGGGTTCTTAACCTTAAAGAGAGGGAGTAGTAGTATGTTTTGTCTCCACGTTCTTTTCAGATGGTTGTTCATGCCTTCACATATGTGAATGTCTGCTTAACATCAACATAGACACTTGGGTTCTTGGGGTCTACATTTTTCTTTTTAAACTTAAAATCGCTTTGTATAAATGCCCCATGTAAGTCCTGCCTTTGATGGGCTAATATACAGAGCTCTCCCCCGGCCCCCCGCCCCCCGCCCCCCGCGTAGTAGAAAGCGCATGGCTCTGGAGGCAGGCAAGCCTGGGACCCGCCCTTTACACAGCATTTTAATAGCTATGCGACCTTGGCCTTGTAGCTAAATGGTGGATGGAGCAGTGGAAATATGTGCAAGGTATAGCGGTGGCTCCAGAGGGATTAACTTTGGAGGATGTGATGTCTGATGGTGGTGTTGAAGGAAGAGTAGACGTTGTCTTGAAGAGAGGAGAAGGAATTCCAGGCATAGGGAATGTGGAGTGTGCAAAGGCGCAGAAGACCCGTGGGTGGAAGGGTGTTAGATGTAGTTCAGTATTGACAGAAAGGGTAGGTGGGGCGAGGGAGAAGGTGGACAGTTGAGACAGTTGCTTTGGAAGCAGGGTGCAGGCTTAGGGTGGTTTAGAGGCTTCTGCAGGAGAGGGTGAACTAGGGGAGTGGGCCGGGGGGGTGGGTTTAGGGGCTAGTAAGACGTAGAGTAGACAAGACGTGGATAAATAATATATGATGTTTCACTGTTGAGTTCGTCTGCATCCAGGAGAGGAGAGTTAGTTATTAAAAAATGAGGAGTCTTGTAAAAATTCCCCACTCATTTTTTCCCATAAAGAATCATTTCAGTACAAGCTTGTTATGTTATTGGTTAGCCTGAAGTGGTGTTGCCTTCCTTGGCCTACTTCTAATTTCTTGGTGTGGTAACGTGACAGGCGGGAAGGCGGAGCTTCTCAAAAGAAGAGTTCCATGAATTCGCGCCAATTTCCTATGGAGTATCTGAACCTTGAATTCCCAACCCTTCGTGTGGTTGTCGTGTTGTGGCCTGCAGCGCCTCCGACCAGAGAGCCAGGACTTGGGGCTCACTTAGCCTTCCCTGCCCCTCAAATTAAAAAGTATTTTTTAAGAACACAGTTTTATTCACTTAATACTGTTGCTCGCAAGATATTTCCGTATCAAAATTCTTAGTCTGCACAATAATTGCTGGTTTTTAAGCTCTTTAAAGCCATTATCGCAGTGTGGGTGGCAACTACTAGTGAAAACACTCAGTTTTAGAAGAGGAGACCTGGAAGAGTTCCCTCTACTGCTTAGTACCAGAGGGACCTTGGACGAGAGTCGTCTAAACTTTTCTTTTTCTTTTTTTTTTTTTAAATAAGATTTGATTTATTTTAAAGATTTTATTTTTGCTTTTTCTCCCCAAAGCCCCCCGGTACATAGTTGTGTATTTTTAGTTATGGGTCCTTCTAGTTGTGGCATGTGGGACACTGCCTCAGCGTGGCTTGATGAGCAGTGCCATGTCCGCATCTAGGATCCAACCGGTGAAACCCTGGGCCGCCGAAGCGGAGCACGCGAACTTAACCACTCGGCCACGGGGCCGGCCCCTAAACTTTTCTAATCATACTTAATGAGTCATCTGTAAACGGATGGTGAATTGTCACCTATCCTACTTAGATGAGGAGATGTGAAAAGAATTGATGTTGAACAGATGCTAGTAGTAGTTAGTGAGGAGGTTAACCATGCCCTCCCTCCCATGTTGTTTATTATGTTGTTTTACCCTTAATTCATAGAAAATATGCTAATAAACAATCACAGATTCCAAATTAGTTGATTCCAGCTAGTATCACTAGTATTAGTATTATTCCAGAATAGTAACATTTTGTCAATTACAAAACCCGTTAAAATGAAAAGTGATTTGTTTGTATGTCGTAAAGGCTTCTCTGGTTTAGGAATCCTTTTCTATTGCAGCATTCTTTGATCTTGGGTCTGATCGTAAACTGTTAACATGGATGGTTAGGGGCACATGCTTTGGCCTCAGACTCACTTCAGCTGTGGGATTTGGGACAAATTACTTCACCTTTCTAAGGCTCGGTTTCCTCATTGTAAAATAATGATAACGCTATGTAGTGTGAGGATTAAATGGGGTCCTTGCATATGTACCTTGTCTGTGGAAAGGATGCAATACACGTACTTAGGTTTAGTGTGTGGTTTGGCGGTGTTGAAGGCTGGCTTCTTTGGTGAACAGAGAAAGGGGTCTGATCAGAGTCCATTTCTATTAATTTGCTCATGAAAATAACTTGTTGCCTTACTTGATTCTCTTCTGTAGATTCAATTTAAGGAGAAAGTGCTGTGGACTGCTATCACCCTCTTCATCTTCTTAGTATGCTGCCAGGTAAGCACAGGTTTCAGGGTCCATGCCAGGGTCGGGGGACGAGAGTGGGCTGGAGACAAGTGCACTGACTCCCTTTCCCTCTGCTTGTTTCCAGATCCCCCTGTTCGGTATCATGTCTTCAGATTCAGCCGACCCTTTCTATTGGATAAGAGTGATTCTAGCCTCCAACAGAGGTAGGACTCTGGCTCTCTGTGCCTCTCTGTACAGTGTGGGCTTTGGGCTTATGTGGAGCTGAGTGTTTGGAAGAATGTCAGTGTGCTGTGCTGAATAGCCTTAATAAATGCCAAATTTAGCACCGAGGCATATCGTCCTGTTAGAATTGCGTCTGAATGCAGTACAAAACCTGTAATAATAAGTCTGCATCGTAGAGAATTAAAAGAAACATGGAAAAACTAGAATGCTTTTTAAACAACTGAAGTGATGACGTTTCTACCTGTGTTTCTCCTGTTTTTGCTAACATTCTTTAGAATATGTAATTTGTTTCTCAGCTGCATCTTTTTCCTGTCTATAGGTTATATATGTGTGTTAAAAAATATGTCAGTGTTTTGTGTGCTCTAACCAGTTACCTGTTGGAGGGGAGGATTTTGAATGTTTATGTTCATGCTGCTTTTTATTAATTCATTTTAAAAATATAGTTCAAATTAAGTTCCAAATCAGTGGAAGTAGAGGTTTATTCATAACTAGATACAGTTGTACAGATCTCCTTTCCGGACTCTCAGAATTATTTGAATGTTATCGTCTTTTATTAACTGATGAAGAGACGAACCTTTCTTATCTCTGTAAAACCAGAATGAATCTGTTTATGGTGAATTTAAATGCGGCAATCTGTTTAAACACCATGTGACTTCCTAAACAAAATAAGATGTCGACTGGTAGACTGAGTAGAATGAACTGAATGATCTTCTCCTCATTGATATTTTGGAGTTACTCTAAATTAATGCTGCTAGCAATCTGAAACACATTGGATTTGTGTAAGTGATACACAAAGTTTGCTCATTCATTTTCTTAATAATCTGTTGCTTTTCCAAGCTAATAATGGCTGTGTTTTACCTCTCCTTTTCTTCAAGGCACACTGATGGAGCTAGGTATCTCTCCCATTGTCACCTCTGGCCTCATCATGCAGCTCTTGGCTGGCGCCAAAATAATTGAAGTTGGTGACACCCCAAAAGACCGAGCCCTCTTCAATGGAGCCCAAAAGCGTACGTGAGGTTTTAAATAATGTTCAGATGTCTATAGTTGAGAATTTGAATTTGCTGTAAAGTTTGGGGCATCAAAATGGT